CTTCCTCCCTCTCACTATCTCTCTCTTCTATGAGTCACGTTTATAGGAAACAAGAACAAATGGAGGCAGAGATGGTGTGGGGGGTGGGGGAGAGCCATGACAGGGAAGATGAGGGAAAGTTGAGAAAAACGTCAGGGGGTGGGGTGGGGGGGTGAATGATGCTGATCTCACAGGATTTTTGATCTAGAAGTTTCCATGGGCTAGATCATCCTGGCTCTGGATCATTCTAGGGAGAAATGAGAGACTGAACAAGACCACACAGCCTGCTGGGGCAGAGCTGTGACCCCGAGCCACGCCTTTGGGTCACCAGGCTCCCAAACTCGGCCCTGGAGGCAGACAGACTTGACAGAACTCAGATGAACTCTAGAGTTAGGCAGGGAACATGGAGCCACAGATACCAGGGTAATGTGTGGTGCCGATGCGTGGTGACTTAAGAGTATTCTATAGTTCCCTCTCTGTGCTTTGAGCTAAGTGTGTGTATGACCCCAACTGAATGCAGTCAGCAGAATGGACCAGTACCCGTGGGTGCATCAGGGGAGCCGGCAAGATGACTGAACGTCTGAGAGAATGAAGCATGTGGAGCGCCAACTGAAACCGAACCCAACCCACTGCCATCGAGTCAGTTCTTGGGTTTCCAAGGAGCAGATCTTTATGGAAGTGGATCACCCGTCTTCCTTCCATGGAGTGGCTGGTGGGTTTGAACCACCAACCTCCTGGTTAGCAGTCAGATGCCTTAGGCACTGCGCCACCAGAGGTCCTTGTGGAGCATAAAGCCTCCAGAGTCATAAATAAACGTCAGTGAGGAAGCAGGATTCAAAACTTTGAAAATGACAGACTCACAAGAATTATAAGACGGCTAAATGGTCAGGTGAGATGAGGCACATCTGTGTCTGTGGCAGAGACACAGGCTGGTGGGGGTGCAGTCTCCACCAATGTTGCAGGTGGCAGCAGCTGCGGCCTGAACTTAGCCAGGGAGGCCGGAATGAGCGCTCCGGTGTAGCGGGGTGAATCACGTCCCCCTAAAACTTACGTCCAGCTGGAACCTCAGCAGGCGACCTGACTCGGAAATAGGGTCTTTGCGAACAGTCAGTTAAGCCAAGGCCAGGCTGGACTACGGTGGCCCAAACCCCAGGCCCGTGCCCCTTCCTGAGGGGATGCCATGGGACGGCCCCGGGAGACACAGAGAAGTCCGTGTGACGGCGGAGGCAGAGGTTGGTGGGACGCAGCCACAACCAAGGGATGCCCAGGATGGCAGGCAGCTGCTAGAAGTTACCCAGAGGCCAGCAAGGAGTCTATTCTAGAGGCTCAGAGGGAGCATGGCCTGCCAACACCTCGACTGAGACGGTCTAGCCTCGAACAGCAAGAGGGTAACGCCTGCTCTTCTCAGCCGCACCATCTGTGGTGACTTGTTGTGGCAGCCCCAGGAAACGAACACCCCGGGTTTCTGGTACCCAGACCTTGGCAGCTGGTCTTTGAAAATGGTGCATTACTCACGTCGGCATAGATGTTGGTTCCAAACACAGGAGCCCAGTAGGCTGGCTCATCTCTGCAGCGCGCGGGACAGAGGACCCTGCCAACGAGAAGTATGCACGGTCAGTCAGCACCACCAGCACGCGAGAGCCCCCAAGAGGCGGCTGGCTCCTCTTACTCGAATTCCAGATCTTTGTTGGAAGTACTTAGAGGAAAGGAAACTACCATAGTGTTGGACTCTTTAAGAAAAATGTATGTTTCCCACACTAGCAATGGTAAAGATAGTTCTTCTTTTCTTAAGTAGTACCTATAGAACTAAACAGGAGCTCTGGTAGCATAGTGGCTAAAGCACTTGACTGCTAACCAGAAGGCTGGCGGTTCAAACCCACCAGCCACTCCTCGGAAGGAAGGTTGGGCAATCCTACTTCCGTAGTGATACTGCCTCAGAAACCCAAGGAGGGGTCGCTATGAGTCGGGGCCGACTCAATGGCACGTAACAACAACAACAACATAGAATTAAACAAACATATACACAAAGACACAAACCAAACGGTAAAAAGGAGTAACAATCTGAGAGGTGTGAGTATGGAACTATCAGGGACCCTGGCTCTCGTCCTTGTCCTTGGGTGTTGGCCAGTTCACGCTGTGGGTACATGATGGAGATTAGAATCAATAGGCTTTTTTTTTTTGAAGCCACTTCCCTTTGTTGGGAAGTGGGAAGTGAGTCACAGGACATCTCGGGAGGGAGCACTGATAACCTGAGGCAGAAGGGGCTAGGCTCCCTGCTGTGACTCGCACCACAGCCCTGCCAGCTGCCCAGGGGATGAGGAGAGCGCCTGGAAGTGGGTGGGCCCTCAATAGTTCCAGAGATCCAAACCAGCAAAAAGTACAAACTCTACTTAAGAAAAGGTCTTTTGTGTTTATCTGGATCATACACTATGGGCTGGAGCCCAGTTACCAAGAAAACAAAATGGCAGCCGGAGGCCATCTGGCCCAGAGGCAGGCAAGATTCACAGAGGGAAGAAAACCCGACAAAGGGACTGAGACTTTGTCATAGTTCCGGGCAGGAAAGGGGACAGGGAGAAGGAGAGAGAGAGACAGGGTGTGTATGTGTGTGTGTGTGTGTGTGTGTGTTTAAAAAAAAGATGTATCTGAAAGTCTAGGAATTTCTTTCCTACTTCTTTTCAATAATAGGTCAGAATCGTACATTTTGGATACTAACATTCTGTCAAGTTTCCTTTGCTTGTATTTTCTGAAAGGGTTTCCTCCTGCTTCTCTTTAATACCCAGGAGAACACACAGACATGCTGGGACCTCCTCTTGGATGTTCAAGGGTATCAACATGGTGCTGGGAGCTTGAGAAAGCCTTGAGGGGATGGCAAGTAGCAAAGAAAAAGGAGTCAAGGACCCCACTGGTCTCCTCTCCCTAACCTCGCCTGTGTGACAGGCACCACAGGGACGAGCCAGCCGTGTAGGGATGAGGACACCGGACCTCGGGGTCTTCACCCACTGTTTTCAAAGTCAGTTATTCCCACAAGAATCCAGAAGTCTCCAAGCCTGGAGCAAAGGCTCACTTAGACCCAGAGTCAGCTCCCTCTCCTCAAGGCTTTCAAGCCAGGGTAGCAGGGCCTCCCACTGTCTTCCCAACTCGATGATGGAGGTAAGGCAGAAAGCTTGCTTTGAAAGACAGTTTTGCTTCCCTGCATATTTTCTGATGACTTACAAATTTCTACCTGACAAATGGGCAACTCCCAAAGACATACGCCCTGTTCAGTCAAAGGATGCCTCTCTGCCAGTTCGAGAAAGAAGAATGTTTTCCTTCCCCCCAGCCCAGATGATCCCAGGAACCGGTTCCTGGACAAGAACATATGTGTGGTAGGGTCGGGGCTCAATGAGGAAGAGGAAGCCCCCAACAACACGGACTACATCAGTGGCTGCAACAATAGACACGAACACACAACAGCTGCGAGGACGGCGCACACCAGGCAGTGTCTCGTCCTGTTTACACGGGTCACTATGAGCCGGAGCTGACTCGACGGCACCTAGCAACAAGATGAGCCACTGCTACTTTACAGAAGAAGCTACCAGGACATCCTTTGTCTTATAGTAAGATGGAGCATCTTCCAAGAGCCAGTTCGTTATGGTCTGAGCAAGTGCACAGAGAACCTCTCCCCTGGATAACAAATCATGGTACAGTCACAGATGCACTACTGCTCAGCGCCTCAGACCACAACAGCTGCATCTCAACTACGCGATGCTGAGCCAAAGAAGGCAGACACAAACGCTTCCACAGGGGACGGATTCATCCATATGAAATTCTAGAAAAGGCAGAGTTAACAATGACACAAACAAGATCAGTGTTTGTCAGGGACTGAGGGTGGGAGGAGGACTGACCAAAAGGAAACCTTTGGGGGTGATGAAAACATTCTCTCTCTCGATTTGGGGTGGTTGTACAACTGTATACATCTGTTAAAACCCACTGAATGATATCCTTGTAACTGATGAACTTTACCGTGTGCAAGTTAGACTATCATAAAGCTGATTTAAAAACGAAGAACGACTCTCTCTCTACTACAGTCACTCATACAAAATACCACAGATCAAGCACCAGACACAAGGAGCTCATGTAAAGAGGACAAGTGATGCCCAACGTTGCTAAAGCTGACCCAAGAAACCAAGAACGGACAACTTGAGGCTGGTGAAGGGGCAGGAAGGGCTCAGGGCCAAATGACATCAGCCACACAAATGAAAATGTTCTCGCAGTGAGTCGCAGCAGTATCAGGTGGACAAAATCGTCTTCTCCCTGAAGTTCTCTGGGGCTTCGCTGGGTGTCTCGGGCCAGCTGCACACCGGGATCACCCAGAGAGCTTTCAGAAGTTAGGGTGCCGCTGCCTGGGCCCACCCCCAGAGATTCGGGTTGAGCTGGCGTGGACTTTTTATTTTTAATGCTTCCCAGGGGATTCGAACATGCAGCCAGGGGTGAGAGCCTCTGTCTAATGAAAGGTCTACTCAGCTCCTACCTGAGTTGTGAGCAATTATCTTCCAGGGTGGGCACATGTAAGGGCCACATCTAGGACCTGTGTGCTTGTCTGCCAGGAGATGGCACCCCACCCAGCATGGCACCATCTTCTCTTGGCTCCAGTATGCAAGAAACCATACCCCACAACAAGGTCCAGAGAGGAAGCATTGCCCCAGCCCCAGATACCCTGAGCCCCACCACCCCTCGTCCATCTCTACCCCCTTGCCTCACCTTGGACAGTGAGTCATCGGCTTTTCAAATGGACAGAGCTGAGCAACGGTGGTGTAGCAATCCAGGTCCTGCACTGAGAACACACCGGTAAAGGGTCAGGTGCCAGCAAGCCTGGGCCTCGGGCCACCGGCCTATGAAACAGGCTGCTGGGCCATGGGTCCTACAGGTTCACTCAGCTGGGATGGAACCCAGCAGGTGCCAAGGTCCCTTGCTTGGGGCCTGAGTGAGCTCACAGGTCGGGGTGATCTCCCCTCAGTGGTTTCCTGGAGACAGACAGTTCTCACATGAATAGTCCTTTCCTATCATAAGGCCTTCCCCTCTCTGTCCCACTTGATCTTCATGGCAAATGCTACTTCAGTCACACATACAAGGGCACCAAGGCTCAGAAGCTGACAGACCCTGGAGACCTCACAGGCTCTGGTGAGTGCCAGCCTCGGGGGTCCTAGCTCTGTCCATGACCCTGAGCACCACTTGTGTCTGATCGCTGCCAGCTCACCCCTGCTATGGGGCAGGCGACTCCTTTCTTGAAGGCTACCTATTGCATTTAATGGCAGACATAGGAGAACGCGTAAAACAGTGGCAACTTGTGGTCTCTGACAGCCTCTCCTCGTGTCGTTCAGGGGCAGCACATGTTTCCTTAAAGGGCCAGACAGTGAATGTTTTCGGTGTTGTAGTCCATATTGTCTTAGTCGCAATGGCTCAATCTGCTGGTAGAGCAGAAAGCAGCCACCGACTGTGTGTCAATGAATGGGCCCAGCTGCGTTCCAATAAAACTTTATTTACAAAAACAGGTGGTGGGTATACACTGAGAATGGTGATGTTAGCAGGAAGGCTAACTATTAAACTTGTAACTAAAGGGAGTGAAGTTTCCAGGGCAGACAAGATGAGCCGTGGATTACAGCCACTTAAAAGACTGGCCAGCTTACCTTTCACTTTTGACACCATGAATGAACCGGAAGCTTTGTATTTGCTGCAAAACAAAACAGTGGGGAATGGTGAGCACACTCCGAATTGTTTCTTAAAGCACACAGGCTCCTGTACTTATTTACAGCCTCAGCTTCACAGGTTCCTGTTGTTTCCCACCAGCCTGGAAGCTCTCAGACCCTTTTAGAGCTGAGCTTGTTAGGCTATTTTTTTGCACCATGGACCGCTGGGTCAGCACAGAGGTGAAGCTTGTGGATGCCTTCTCAGAAAAATGGTTTTCCCATTCATAAAATAAGGTCAAAAGACTACAAAGGGAACCAAGCATTAGTGTCCTCGTCCAAGCTGAACACGAGCCTGTGTTGGAGGGAGACCTGGGCTTTCTCAGTAAAGCAACAAGTCCCACGCTCTAAAGGCGGGCTGACCGTGGCTGCCGTCTCAGGTGCGGATGAGCAGAGACTATTTCCCAAACGCCCGGCAAGAAGCACCTGCCAACACTTCTGTCGTTTGTAGCTGACATCCGTCATTGGAGGGAACACTACATGCCAGTGAGAGGTTGGTGAACATCAATTAAGCTGCCATTTTCTTTGCATTGATGTTCACAGACACACACACCCGAGTCTAAACCGTGAAGCACTGCGGTGCAAACTCGGCCACTGGAAGGGACTGAAGTCCCTCCAGCGTAACTTCACTCACTGCAGGAAGCGCGTCCTTTGCCAGGCTCCTGGGCGGTTGCAGCCTATACTGTTTATTACAGCCGGCACTGCAGGCACCCATCTCAGGGGTCTTTCCGTTGCTGTTATCTGGACTTCCCTGCTCTTTCTCTAACTGTCCCTCCCTTGAGTTCACTAGGCAGGTCTGTCTGACCCCATAGTCCGTGCTGTAGACGACTGGGTCCCCTGGCTCCAGGGCCACCTGTGCCTCAGATCCCACACACAGACCAAAGCATGAGCGCCTGGAGATATGACCTCTCCCTTCACCACCCAATAGCTCAGAATGACCAGGATGGTCTGCCCACTGTCCAGCGCATACCGTATGTGGAAAACATGACCCTGGAAGAAAATTAAGCATGTTTCAAAAATGAAAAGCATCATTCTTAGGGAGCAAGAAGAAGTGCTAATCAGAATTAGCTGGCATGCTCGTGCGCACCATCAGCTGTGAACAACGGCATCTCTGAGCAGTTCTCAGTGGCTGAAAAGCAGGATCCAAACTCAACCAAACTGCAAATACACACACAAATCCCACAGGAACGGAATATGCCAAACCGTACGGACGGGCAATTTCTGAGTTAGGGCCTGAGGTCATCTCAGTGTTTTTCCTGTTCCTTTCTGTTTTCCAGGACTTTTTAATGTTTCCACAATGCGTTCCTAACCAGGAAAAAATGTTCTAAGGAACCATGGTCACAGAGTAGGGGTCCCTGGGTGGTACGAATGGTTAATGTCCGTGGCTGCTGACTGAAAGGCTGGCCAATCAAGTTCCCTCAGTGGTGCCATGGAAGGGCCTGGTGACCTACTTGTGAAAGACACTAGCCACTGGGAAACCCCGTAGTGCATAGCTCTAGGCTGACCCACGGGTCACCATGAGTCGGGATCAACTCAACAGCAAGTGGTTCAGTCAGAGAACAGTCACCTCAGAGAGGTCACACCATGCCGCTCCGACTTCACGAAGAAAGGGACCCTCCCGTTCCTGGTGACATCCACCAGCCCTCCTTTGTCGTCGATGACTCCGTAGTGAATCGCAGCGCGGCATATGCTGGAGGACTAGGGGAGAGGAGACAAGCCGTGAGTGTATCCTGAATTAACCTTGGTCTGCAGCCTTGTGCACAAGTACCTAAGGAGTCTGTCCTCACCCCAGCAAAAGCCCAAAGGACAGGCTAAAGCGCACGGCCTTCCAACCCTTCCCGTTCTCTACAACCGCGTCTTTGTTCCTGGTCCTGCTTATCTTCGAAAGTTCATCCAAGGTGCCTTACCGACTAGGAACGGTGACAAACGGCCCTTTCTCCCCCTCCAGTCGAGCATATTAACACATGCTGGGGAGTGGAGACAGCTCTGCCGGGGTGGGGCCCTGCCCACCCAGGGTGGCTCCCCACCTCCGGAGCCTGTGCCGCCGAGGATCAGCCGCACAGGTGTAAGGTTTTCCCAAGAAGGGAAAGAAACGCGGTTCCTGTCAAAACCACCAACCATCTTTAAAAATCCACAAGCCATTTAAAGAAACATCAGTGCGGTGGTTAAGTTTGTGTGTCAGCTTGGCTGGGCCTGGTTGAGTGGCCGGGCAGCTGGATGTAGTATTCCCTGTGACGAGACTGGTCCTCAACTCCATGGTGGAACCTACTGTGAGCAGCTGAGCAGCTGCCTTAGGGATGAGGTCTGCTTCCTGTATATAAAGAGAAGCCTTGGGGAACGGTCTCTAGTTTATGGCACGCTTGAACCCTGCATGTAGCCATGTCGTTGTTCAGCAGCCTGCCATGCTCTGCCGACCTTGGGACTTTCAATGGACTTGAATTAATGGCTTGCTATGTGGCTTGGTAACATTGGGACTGTGCCTTTTTAGTTGTCAACCTTGAGTTTGTCAGCCTCAGCAGCCAGCAGCTGTCCGAGTGAAGGAAAGCCTCCAGCTTCAATGGGCCGGGAGCCGGAGACAGAGCTGAAGCCCAAGGTTGAGGGGCTTTCACCCAGCCCCTAGAGCCTGGCACTTTGAACTCAGACTTAAGGCCTCCAAATTGTAAGAGCTCTGGTAGCATAGTGGCTAAAGCACTTGACTGCTAACCAGAAGGCTGGAGGTTCAAACCCAGCAGCCACTCCTCGGAAGGAAGGTTGGGCAATCCTACTTCCGTAGTGATAATGCCTCAGAAACCCAAGGAGGGGTCGCTATGAGTTGGGTCTGACTCGACGGCCCAAAACAACAACAACAACAACAAATTGTAAGAGAATAAACTCCTGTTTGTTCAAGCGTCCCGTTTGTGGTATATTCATGTCAGAGCGGCACTAGGGAACCAGTAACAATCAGCCATACTTACACTTTCGTAATAGATGGTTCCAAAAATCTTTGCCTTGTTGTTCAAACAGCCGGCAGGGCACTGATACCTGGTGAGGCAAAGAGAAAACGAGTCTCAGCGGGGCATGGATGACACCTCACCAGCGACTCAATGCTTCCTTCTTCAGCAGCTCGAACAGAATTATGGCTCATCTCAGTAATATTCATGCAGACAGACTTTTGCATCTTTGCTTTCAGGGCTATGTTACTAACTATCAACAGCCACATTAATTCACAAACTATTACTTCTGACCAGGTGATAATTCACCCAGGCCCAGGCCGAGGCTGAGATCCACAGGAACACAATCACAAAGCCGATTTGCCTCCCTTAAAGACCATTCACCTGGTGAAGGCAGGCACTCGAGGTGATGGCATGGTGGTGCCGACAATCACAGACGGCCACAAAGGGCTTCAACACACACCAAGTGTCCAGCACCACTCACCACAGATGTGTGTGTTAAACAGAGACGGCGTTTCTAGGGATCAAACTGCAAGGGTTTTTAAGAGGCTAAAACTCAGTGACAGTGCTCATGCAAGGAAGGGCAACCGCCAACACTGTTCACAGGGGTCTAGTCAACCCTCCGCACCCGTTGCCCCCTGAACTTCCCCTGCAGGTGCTGATCCCAGGAAAAGAGCAGGAGTACAAGCAGACCAGCAGGTAAGCTCTGGCCGGGTCTGGTGACTCTGAGGGCTGCCCTTGGGTGAGAACGTATTTTTCTGTACCCAGCCCCTCCGAGGATACGTGTACAGATACCTACATTCTGGCAGGCTTTAATTGTGCAAAGCGAATTGTGAAATCGCGAGATGAGTTAGCAGGTGTTAACAGCTCATACACATTTTTGGTTTGTGACACTGATCGCAATCCCCACCACGTAACAGCGCTCTTCCCACTTCCTGTTTTTCTGTTTCCCTTTCTCCCCCTTCCCTAACCTTTTCTGCCTTCTGAGCTGTATTCCTGCTGCCCTTTTGCTCTCGTAAGGTTGGTCGTTCTAATGAATGCACACCCCCTGGTGTGACTTTTCACCTCATAGGCCTGTGGTGGCAAGTTGAACCACAGGGGTGGGTTCAGAACCAGGCTTGAGGGGTGTCTAAGGGCTGTAGTCTCAAGGGGTCCCACCAGTCTCTGTCAGCAAGCCTGCTCTGTTTTATGATTTTGAGTTTTGTTCTACATTTCCCCCCACTCTATCCAGGACCTCACTGTGACCCCTTTCAGAGCAGTCAGCAGTGGTAGCCGGGCACCATCTAGTTCCTCCGATCTCAGGTCATGGAGGCTGGGGTTTCCATGGACTAATGGTTTCCATGCATCTTTGATTTTCTTCACTCTTCTGTGGTCCAGATGGGGAGAGACCAATAGTTGCCCCTTAGATGGCTGTTCACAAGCCTGTAGGACCCCAGTCACTACTCACCACAGTAGGATGCAGACTACTGTGCACTATCCGAGAGTCACCCCAACTGACTCAGCTGTCCTTTGAGACTGTGGTCCTAAGCCCCAAGCCCAGTGACTCATTACCTCTTCCTTTGCCTTAGTGATGGTGTGCTGCTCCTCCCCTCATTGTATAATGCCTTTTCCTGCACCCCAATCGATACCTGCCTGTTATCTAGTTAAGGAGCTCTGGTGGTGTAGTGGTTAAGGCATTTGGCTGCTAACTAACAGGTTGGGGTGGTTCGAACCCACGAGCTGCTCCATGGGAAACGATGAGGCAGTCTGCTTCGGTAAACAGTGACAGCCTTGGAAACCCGATGGAGGTCACTACGAGTCGAAACCGACTCGATGGCAGTGAGATTATCCAGTTAGTGACTTTTCCTCCCCTCCCTCCCATCCCTGGTAACCATCAAAGAATGTCTGTTGCTGTGTGTTCTTAAGATTTGTACACGCAACAACCCTATGAACAGGGACTGTCCTTGCCCCCATTTTATTGGTAAGGAAAGGGAGGCACAGAAAGGTTAAGTGACTTGTCACCTAGCCAACAGGGGCAGGGCTGGGACTTGAACCCTGGCTGTCTGCTCTAGCTTCCAGGCTCAGAACCAGCACCCCGGCTTCCTCACCCCAGACGTATCACTGGCGTGGGACACAGACCCTTCCCGAGAGGGGGTTGGGGTGCAGCTGATGGTGCAGAGACTTGCTTGTTTCTAACCTAAGGAACATTTGTTGTACGGAAATGATGCTTGTTATCTGAGGAGGACATCTAGAGGAGAAGCGGTCTTGCAGGCTCCCTGTCCACTGCCCGAGTCCCCTCCATGAACAGCCCACTGACAACCTCCAGGCTCCTTTCTCTGTGCGTGTCCACGCTGCTATGAAAGCCACACTGTCCATGCTGTTCTGAAATGGCTCCCTGAACACTGTCTATTGCACACCTAAGATGTGGAGCTGTGACGGTGCCCTCGGGCTGCATGGGGATAAGCCCTTCGTCACTGTGTGCACCGCGTGCCAGCACCAGGATGGCCTCAGGGGATGTCACCTGTCCTCATGTCCCTGATGAGAGAGGGGCTGACTGGCTCAGGTTTACACCTGATAGTACAGTTACTCACAGCAGTGCTCACGGCTGACACCTTCTGTCGATAAGCTCGTCGACTCTTACAATGTCCCTGAGAAGTACCCTTTCACAGATGTGGAAACTGAGGCACATCATTCCTCCACAAGGCGTCCATAGGGACCAAACTCTTAACCGGAATACGTATATGGGCTGGAGGACATGGAGGTCCACGGTTCTCAACTGGGGCTGGTCTTACCCCCAGCATCCGGGGACACTGCTCAGCATCCCACTGTGCACAGTGAGTCTCCACCACAAAGAAGGAGCGGGCCCCAAGCGTCAGTTGTGCTGCAGCCGAGGAATCCCGGTGTAAAGTGACAGAGCTGGGCCATCACCATGTGCCAAGCTCTGGGTAAATGGCAGCAGTCATAGGGGAATCTGAGACGTCATGGTCCGTCTAACTCATGGCGCAAAGCAAACCGAGTCAGCCTCCTGCCCAACCCGGACGCCTTTGGGCTCAGAGTTGTGAACACCTTTTCCCCAGGGGTTTCCACCCAGCTTGGTCTGGGCTGAATCAACTGAGCGATCACAACATGCTACATATACCCACAGCAGGTGCCTCAAAGGGCTGCAGGTGGCGACAAGACAGGGACAAAGCTGGGACATTACCTGTTGCACGTGGAGCCTTTGCATTTGTCCTTCATCTTGGTGTCACACTTGACGACCTGGGCTGGGAGAGGAATGTGGAAACAACATCACAGCAGGAAGTCAGGAGGATAAGTCTGGGCTAGAAGATTTGTACCCCACCCCAGGGGCACTCTGGGACCCATGCCATAGCCAGGGCAGGCGTCCATCGTGAGGTTCCGATCCCAGGTCTACCACTTAGTAAGCATGACCTTGGACAAGTTACCTCCCCGCTCTGAGGTTCAGTTTCCACATACGAATAACGCTGGGGATGGTGACAGTACCCCTCAGAGGGTTTTGTGGGGCTTACATAGGACAGTACCCGTTAAGCCTTGGAGAGGTGCTTGGACACCAGCGCCAAGCACACAGGATTTCTGGGGTACAGAGGAAGCTGACCAGAGCCCGGGGGGGGGGAGCTTTTCATTCTCATTGAGGTTGCCCCACAGCCAAGGAGGCTTTTGGCAGGCTTTCCTCTTAGACTTATTTTACAGAACATTGCAGAACCTTGGAGCAGTGTTCGACTGCAGACAGACATATATCACGTTGTAGTTTTACATCACAGAGAGTGGAACTATTCTGAGCTTTTGGAAGACAGGAGCGTCCACTTACCTGCTTGTCAAATAAAGCTACGAACGATCAGATGTCAGAAAGTCAGGAGGGGCAGAATCGTGAACAGCACGGTCGGGAGACCAGTGCCGCAGGGAGAAAGGACAGCCGAGCTCGCCGTTCAAGATTCCGTACCAACACACGCGCCTATGGTGGGTGCCCGGCTTACAAACGCCCAACTTACGGAAACTCATGCTCGCCCTTTGTTATTTATCCCCTTGTAACTTTGTACTGTGGTGTGAGTGAAAGTGTACAGAGCATGTTGGTTTTCCAGCCAAGATTCACACTCATTGTGTTGTGACACTGATTGCAACCCACAGCCTAATAGCTCTCCTCCCACTTCCTCCCTGCGTTCCTGTTTCCACTCACCCCTCTCTCCTGTCCCTCCCTGCCTTCTGAGCTTTACCCCCAGGCAAATACTGCCCTAGGGGTGGTTGGTTGTAAGGAGCAGGCACCTCCCTGGTGTTACTGTTTCCCTCCTAGGTGTCTCTATTGCTTGGCTCAAAGTTGAGCCCTGGGGGTGAGTTTTCAGTTCCAGGCGTAAAGAACGAGTAAGGGCCATGGTCTTGGGAGCTCCACCAGTCTCCGCCAGACCAGTGAGCTCATCCTTGCCCTTTAATGTCAGACAAGCCTGCCCTCACTTTGAAACAACTGTACTCACAACACATCCTTCACAACACCTTCACTTGCTGCACGAGCAGCTTTTAAAGCATTGAAAAGGCTTTGAGCCTTTTCTTGCACTAATTCAAAACCAAACTCTGCCATACTGTCGATTTTTACTCACAGAAACCCCCAGTAGGTTTCCAAGGTGGTAAATCTTTACAGAAGGGACTGCCTCATCTTTCTTCTGCAGGGCGGCTGGTGGGTTCAAACCACTGACCTTCTGGTTAGCAGCCTGATGCCTTTACCGCTGCACCACCAGAGCTCCCTTCTTGCACTAAAGGAAGGCTAAATAAGAACCGTGTGCACCTGTTCCAACTTACCTACCAAGGTGACTTAGAGACACACATGGGAAAGGATCTTGTTTGTGACCCAGGGATCGCCTGTACTTGCTGAAACTCATCTGGGACCCCGACATCAACACTCGAGGCACATTCGCCTCACCTGTGGACACGCACAGAGCGAGGAGGCCCCCGAGCGGCCGACGCGCATGTCTGCAGCTGAGGCCGAACCCAGGAACGTTCTGCTCGTGCAGCTCTCACCCTGCAAACAAGGGTCCCTCTCACGGCCCATTTAGTGCCACTGCTTCTCGTTTCTGTGCTTTCATGGGTGGCTTTGCTGTTTAAAGTGGCCCGAGCACAAGGAGACAATGTGCCTGACGAGAAAACACGGAGCGGGAGGGGCTGCGTGTGGGCAGGTGCAGTGCTGCCGGCTGTGAGCTCAAGGCTAAGGAACCCACAGCGCACGTGGAGTCAAGGAGCTGTCTGCAAATGGAAGCACACGTGTAACAAGGTCACGTGTGGATCAGCTGATGAAGATGTTGTGACCAGAGGCTCTCAGGAGCCTGTGTTTCCCCAGAGCGGTGGTTCCATATTTGCTAATTCAGTGTTTGACTTTACAGACCACGACGACCACAAATAACAGACTCGGCTGTAAATGGGGCAATAGGAGAGGGTTTCCAAGAGAGATAAGCCCAAGTTGTGCCTCTGCTCAGGCGGAGCCTGGCTTACTCAGCTGGAGCCTTAGGAAGGAAACACACAGCCTATGCAGTGTCCATAAGGAGAGACCCTGCACCGCCCCGAGCCGTCAGAGAAGGTGGCCGCACACACAGGCAGCCCTGGGAACAGTGTCTGGGGGAAATCGGGGGGAGAGCTGAGATCCACCCGGCGGGGGGTGAGACAGGAAGAAGGAAAACCTTAGGGGAAGCATGTGATGAGGTCAGCAGAGAGGAAAGCCAGCCCACAAGAGGCGAGCATCAGAACGCTTGGCACCTGGCACTTTTCAGATGCCTGGGGGATGACACTGCACTTCCACCCAGTATGGAAGCCGGGGCCTCAGGGCATGGGGGTGACTCACATGACGCAAATAACCCGCACGGCAGACCCATTCTGGGCTTCCTTAGCCCCCTTCATGGATGGCAAACTGAGCCTTTGCGAGTCGAGTGACCAACTGAGACACAGAGCTGGGCTGCACCAGCACCAGCTCCAGGCTGCACCCTCCCCTGGGGACACCAGTGCTGCCCGGAGGAACCCAATTTCAGCCCCATTCCCCCCTGAAAGGACCAGGGAAGGCCTAACCTTAAAATACGTACCTGGGAAAAAAAATCCTGCCCAAGTACAGCTCTTACAATGCTTGCTTTTAAAAATGACTTAAAAATACCATTTTCAAAATGGCTTAGGGTTGTGCTTTTTGCAAGCTACACCCCACCCTGTTCCACGTTGTTTGTCAACCTGGAGACCTCTCCGCCAGCAGCTCCCCTCCTCCAGCCCCCAGAGGTGGCTCAGAGGACAAGCAGAAAGCAGGGACCCACCCATGTAGCTGACCACAGAGTCTTTAACGGGCTTCTTGGGCCTCATCACCCTCGGCTGGACCCCCACGTGTTTTTCTTCAGGAATCGGGACTGTCTCCACCTCGTTCATCTCCTCCGTTTCAGATGTTTGGTCGTAGGTCTCTTTGTGAAGAGGGAGGAAAAAGAAAAAAAATAAAATAAAACTGGTATTTAACAGAAATGCACTTTGAAAAAAAAAAAATTGGAAACGAAACTCGTTTGAGGTTTGGTTTCATAAAGGATCATTTCAGTTGCAAAGAGAAAGCTAAGTTTCGGAATAGACGTTGACCAGGTGGAATTCTACCAGCCCAGAGTGCCTGATCCGCTCACAGCTCACTCTGTTTGCTTTGGACCCGGGAGAAGCTGGACTGACCTGGGGCGAGAAGACCAGACCCACCAAGGCCTGCCCCACCACCCGCCCCCGGAAGCAGCCTCACAAAGCTGCCCTCCCTTCTGTCTCCCAAGATCCTCTGCCCCCAGGTGTTCACTGCATGTGTCAGGCCTTCCTCCTGTGCACAGCCATTGAGGTGGGGCCAAGGACCCACGCCCATGCCCTGGGCCCCACGAGGGCCACCCTGAGCCGGGTCCCGCCCCTTTCTCCACCTGAGTCAGGTCCTCTCTCTGAAGTTTTGCTGCCCAGTAACGTCACATCATCAAGTAGCACTACCCAAGACCCAACTCCTGGTTCAGAGAAACGTGAGTCATTACGAGCAATCAAGCTACAAAGAGATGTGGAGGAGCCCTAAATACACGCTGCTAAGGACAAGAGCTCTGGTAGCATAGTGGCTAAGGCACTTGACTGCTAACCAGAAGGCAGATGGTTCAAACCCACCAGCCACTCCTCGGAAGGAAGGTTGGGCAATCCTACTTCCGTAGTGATACTGCCTCGGAAACCCAAGGAGGGGTTGACTCGAGGAGGGGTCGACTCGATGGCAAACAACAACAACAAGGACAAGAAGCCACTCTGAAAAGGCAGTGTACACGTGACCCCAGCTCCAGGGCATTCCGGAGCAGGGAAGTCTACGTTGTTACTGGAGGGTTGCTTCTGCTCACAGCAGCCCTATGCTGTCGGGACAATGAAGGCTCAGCAGGGACCTCACCGCTGCTGCTGGCTGCTGGCTGCTGTCAAGTTGGACCAACCCAGGGCGACCTCATGTTCCACGGAATGAAAAGTGTGCCACCTTCCCGGGCACTGGGATGGGGTATTCTACAGAAGCCATTCTGTAGGAGACCGTGCTGGTACACATGGGACCCTAAGCCTTTGCCAAAACCTACAGGACTGTATCACACAATGCAGGAACCCCGACGTCCCCCGTTGGCTCTCATTAATAATGATGCATCGATATTGGCTCATCAATTGTGGTAAATGTGCCCCACGTGAACCACAGCCCCCACAACTCAGAGACTAGAAGAACTAGATGGTGCCTGGCTACCACTGCTGACCGCTCTGATTGGAGCACAGAAGGCCCTGGGCAGAATGGGAGAAAAATGTAGAACAAAATTCAAAACCGTAAAAAAGACCACACGACAGAGACTAGGGGAACCTCTGAGACTGTGGCCCTCAGACAACTTTCAAACCTGGAACTGCATCCAACCTCACAAATCAACTTTCAGCCAAAGGACAGACAGGCCTATAAAGTGAACACGAACACACGTGAGGAATGTATTCCTCAGAGCAATCAACCACAGGAGACCAAAAAGTTGGCATTTTCCCCAAAACAAAACTCAGAGGGCAGGAAAGGATGGAGAGGAAGGGAAGGCCAGGGAGGAAGTGGGAGCAGTGCTGTTACTCTGAGGGGACCGTGAACAATGGCACTCAACACATCACTGTTGGACAGAAAAGTAATTTGCTTTATAAACTTTCACCCAAAACACAATAAATAAAAATAAAATAAAACTAAATGCCACCAGTGCTATCTTCCATAGATACGCCTGTGTGTGTGTGTGTGCGCGTGTGCACACACACGCTTGTGCGCACTTGAAAGACAGAAGTGTTTGGACGTGCAATTTCCACAAGGAAGCCCAGTGCCTCACCGGCCTTCTGTTACTGCATTCAAATCTAAGTCTGTCCAGTGTTTTCGATCCCCACGACTTAACCCACTTCTCTTTAAGAGCAATGGCCTCTCCTCCAAGGGGCAGGGCAGGCACTTCGTGTCTACACAAAACCAGACAACCAGACGGGGGCAGAGGAGAGACACCACAGTGCTTTCGCGGCAGGCATTTTGCACCTGTTTCTCTGGCCAGATTCACCACCTGTGGCGGGTGACCCCTGTCCCCCAGGCAGAGTTACTAAAGTCCCACCTGGGAAGAGGATCTCGTTTGGAAATAGGGTCTTTGAAGATGTTATCAGTTCAGCCCACATGAGGTTTCACTGGAGTGGACTAGACCCGAATCCAGTCTGCACAGTGTCCTATAAAAGGAGAGGCAGGCAGAGGAAGGACCAAAGCCACAAAAGCCACTGCCACCTAGTCAATTCTGACTCACAGCAACTCTGTAGGACAGGGTAGTACTGCCCCACAGGGCTTCCAAGGCCGTGATCTTTACAAAAGTCAAGGCCGAACCAAGCCCACTGCTGTGGAGTCTATTCCAACTCACAGCGCCTCTAGAGGACAGAGTGGAACTGCCCCACAAGGTTTCCAAGGCTGTCAATCTTCATGGAAACAAAGCTCAAACCAAACCCGTGGCTATGGAGTCGATTCTGACTCACAGCACCCCTGGAAGACAGAGTAGAACTGCCCTGTAGGGTTTCCAAGACTGTAATTTTGTTTATGGAAGCAGACTGCCTCATCTTTCTCTCGTGGAGCAGCTGGTGGGTTTGAACCTCCGACTTTTCAGTTAGCAGTTGAGCAGTTAAGTCACTGCACCACCAGGGCTCCTCTCTTCCTCTCCAACCACCTGTCAACTCCACAAGGCCAGGAGCCAGGCCTGCTTCCCACCTGTACACCCAGCACCCAGCACACAGTACTTGCCCAGCAAAATTCACTGGATGGCTGAAGCAGCAACAACCCCAAAGAAAAGATATAGGCCCAGTAACAGAGCTGAAAGCATCGTGAAGGAAAAATGCTGAAAGCACCATTTACAGCCAAAAGCTAGAGGCAAACCCTTCAGGAGGCGCTGGGCTTGCCGACGCTCTTGGCACGCACTCGCTGTCTCTCGTCCCCTCTGCTCCTGAATGTGGCTATTCAGCTTTGCCTGGCTGACAGGGGAGCTGTCTCTGGAAGAAGCCTGGTTTCTTCCATTGCCCTTTAGGACTTTCGTGCTTCATAATCGCTGCTTTCTTTAGCCTCAAACAGTTGGGTAAGGCGCTTTAAGGCACTTGAGGGATCGCTGTTCAGGACCGAGCCCGTCCTGAGCCCCACACAGGGAAAGCCGATGCTCAGCCTGCACACAGACCCGGCTCAAGTGTGTCTGAGTCCAGAACCCCTGTGGGGGTCAGCGCGACCCGGGGCAAGCCTGTGCCTGAGTTCATTGCCAGGTTACTCTCTCGTGCACCGGCCAGCCCTGGACAAGGGGTCTCTGGGCGCGTGGCACTGTTCACACCCTCCTGTGGCTTCCACGCCCCGTCTGCCAGCGTGCCCTTCTGTGGTGGCCTGCGTCTTGCTGTGACGCTGGAGGCTATGCCACAGGGATTTCAAATAGCAGCAGGCTCACCCACGGTGGACAGGTTTCAGTGGAACTTCCGGACGAAGATGGACCCGGGAGAAGGCCTGGGAGACCCCTTCCAAAACGCAAACCAGGAGGATCCCAGCAGAACAGTGTCTGACGCTGTGCTGGAAGAGGAGCTCCGAGCCTGACCCAAAACCATGCCCACTGCCATCAAGTTGACCCTGACTCACAGCGACTCTACGGGACAGAGCAGAACTGCCCCACAGGGTTCCCAAGGCTGTCAATCGTGACGCAAGCAGACTACCATATCTTTCTCCCATGGAGCGGCTGGTGGGTTTGATCTGCCAACCTTCTGGTCTGCCGCCAAGCACTTTAACCACTGCACCGCCAGGACTCCTCCTAGGCTGGAAGGCCCTCAGAACACACAATGACTGCACGAGAGGCCTGGACACACCACCAACCACGGAGACCATGCAGGGCTTTGTCCTGGTGTACAAACAGAGCCAATGCGAAGACAGCCACCACCACCCAGGGCTCCCCACCTGAGTCTATCAGTGGTGACAGGGCTCCCAAGGCACTCACTGAGCACAGACAGATGATCAGTGCCTGCCCAGCCCTCCCCCAGCATCTCACGTAAACCTCTCAACATCCCAGGAGGCACGATGGGCCCCACTTCACTGGGGGCGGAAACAGGCTCTGGCGGCTAATGGCCTTGCCCACACTCTGCCACTGGAAGCCCACACCCTTCATTGCCACACAGGGCAGGGCTGCAGGGAACGAGCCTCTCTTTCTTCAACCCCCAGCCCTGCTCCATCTCCATCACAAGTCACGGCCTCTCCAGGCACCCTCAATAAACGCTATTAAGGAGTTTATGCACATAAGCTGCTTTTCAAGAGACTTTCTGCATGGCTAGCTAAGAAAAGTAGGGAGTCAGCCAAGTGAAGTTGGGTATTTTCCACCAAAAATAAAGCAGTTAGTGCCTAAGGCTTCAGTGGGTGGGTCAATTGGCAGCTACGACTCCCCTGGACATGGATGCTCTGCTGAGAACCTGACACAGATACCGGACTGTATTCAGGTACTGGGTGTGTCACTGGGCACAGCACACTGGCTGCAGGCCTGGAGGCCCGGGGGTAGACTGGGCTGATCATGCCTCAAGGGCCCTGGTGGGTGCGATAAGACATGGAGGCAGGTGCTCTATGTGTCTGTAAGTCAGAGAAGGCTTCCTGGAGGAGGTGTGGTGTCTGAGCTGGCATCTGTCAGGTTCCTGGTATGGCTGAGGGTCCTCCAGACTGGGTGAATGGCACTTCCCCACCAGGCGAAAGGTCCGCCTTGCTAGGTGGTAAGTGAAGCTGAACCCTGTTTCTGCCAGGACCTAACGTGCCATGTGCACAGAGCTTGTGTAAGGGGCTCAGCACCCCCCACTACGTCTTCCACAGTGAGGGCTATTGTGACTGCTGCTATACTTGGGAAAGCAGAGGCACAGAGAGGGCAGGGCATGTGCCTGAGAACACACAGCCGTAAGCAGCAGAGGCAAGCCCTCTGAGAGACTGAGGGGAATCTGGGGCGACCGTCCTCAAAGGTGCTCCTACCTCGGTAGCACAGGTTGTTCTTGCAGCCCCCTCCGTAGCTGGAGGGGCACTCCGAGCAGGGCCGGCCATTTTTGTAGGGGGCTTCTCCAATCCAGTTGCCCCTAGAGACAAACCCAAGACACAGTCAGGAATGGCCTGCCCCTCGACGCCTAGCCCACTCCCCGTCAGGGAGCAAGCAGTGGTATGCAGGCTGTGTAAGAGGAAGGACAGCTGTCCAGGCCGCCCATGCAGTCTGGGAATTCTAGGAGGTTCTAGCAAACCCCCAACACTTCTGTCCTGCTGTGTTGACATGTGCACCCCACCCCCAGCCACCTGTGGTGCTCCCCACCCGCAGCTCGGAACACAGCCAGGGCCCCTCAGAGCTCAGTGCCTTTGCAGTGAAGTGAAGAGGACCCCCATGTGAGCCATTTCTCCACTGAGTGGAGTTGACATGCTGCAGGGGTGCCCAGATGGCAACCACTGGCAACAACGAGGGCAGCGCATTTACCGCATGCTCACCACATGCCAGGTCCATGTACTTCCATGTGCTGGTGGTGGGAAGGGCCAGGATTCCCTCCTCTGGCAGGGGGAGGATACTGAGGCACAGAGAGGGTAAGGAACTTCTCCAAAGTCACACAGCCAGTTCATGATGGGGTTGGGATTTGAACCCAGGTCACAAAGCTCAGAGCCTTTGACCACTTCTGCTCTAGGGGTAGGGGCCAAGGTCAATGTGTGCATCAGTGGCGCTACCACACCCCTCTTAAGTCCCCAGGGCAGGGAATGCTGGAGGCCACTTCTTTGAGAAGTCTGAGTGTCCTTGCACAGAAAGAAAACACCTACGACAAGACAAGTCCCATGGCCATGGGCACAAAGGCATAGTTTGTGGTTGTGTGTATACAAGGTCAAGACCACGCAGACCAACGGGCGGGAGAGATGCTGGCGTGGTGGTCGCTTTGAGGGGTGTGAGGAGCCTTCTAGGGTGCTGGAAATAGTCTCTATCTTGGTATGGGGTGTCGTTACAGGTATATCCTTAAGCCACTGCTGTCCAGTTGATTCCAACTCATTGCGACCCCATTGTTGTTGTTGTTATGTGCCATCGAGTCAGACCCAACTCATAGCGACCCCTCCTTGGGTTTCCAAGGC